ATCCCAACAGTCAGGGAGGCAGAGGCAGAAGGATCTCTGTGAGCCAAGGCCAGACTGGTCTACGTACAAAGCAAGTCCAAGACAGCCAAGGCTATACAGGGAAACCCTGTCTCAAAAAAACCAACAACAACAAAATACAAACAAACAAAAAATTTACAAAATCTTCATATAGTAAATGTGCTCTTTTATATATGTGAAAAAGTTTTCATAGAAACCAAATGTCTTTCTGGGGACCAAAAAAACAGAAGCGTCTAATGTCACGTCATTATCTTATTAACATATTTTCAAAATCCTGTTCACATCAGAGGGATTGTGCACGTGAATGTGATGGGGGGGGGGGGGCGGTCAATAGTCAATCAAAAGAATCACCCGAAACATAATAAAATGCAAAAGCAGCACAAATTGAAAAGCTGCCTTTTCCTGGTGACTCAAAAGAAGGCCATGCTCAGAGCTTCATCCCCATGCCACCATGGCCTTTTCCTGGAAAGAAGTAACCTAGTCCTGACCAATGGCTCAGGAACTAGACTCCCCCTAGTCCAACACAACAGCCAAGAAACCATCTCCTGACAAGTGTGCATGCTGCCTATCCTTGAAGGGTTTGCCCTGCAGAACAAGACTGTGGTGCTGTACTGGTGTGGATGTTCTGGGAAGTAATCATATGTTTCATTGCACATTACATTCAAGTGAGTCTGGCACACAGCTCCATCTCCTTTACTATAATCAGAACCAAACGTTAATTATGGCAATGTCAAAACTGTTCTGCTGGCACTAATTCTTAGTAAACATTCCAAAAGATGTTTCTTTATGGTAATTTTTTAATGTTTTTTTTACATTTTATTCATAATATATCCGGATTGAAGCCCCCTCCCTCAACTCCCCCCCAGACCCAAGCTCCCTCCCTCTTTTAAATGACATCAAAGGTTGGATTTCCATTTCCACAGGTTGTTTTGAAGAGGTTTTTTGTTCTTGCAGACAAAGAATAGAATAAAAAATAATCCTTAAACTAAAGGCTCAGAGTAGACAATAATAACTCCTGTAGAGGTATTAAAGATAAATTTGGACAAATGTATAAATGTCAAAATACATATGTTTGCTATAAAAATAATCCTGACTTCCGCTTGTTGGTTGATTACTCCATTCCCTGGAACAATCAGGTAGTTTATCACTAAACTGGAAATATTTTCTGTCCTACAACTGGGAACATTTTGGTGTATGGTTTGGAGAACACGAAGCAAAGTAGAGGTGACCTTGAAGTCATCTTTTGAATAATAATTACTTCATCATTTGATGTTTGGAAAGTGTTCTTTTCTGTTTCATATGATCTTCACTTAACCTTATGAAATGAAGTTGCCATCATCAGAGAGCAAAAGAAGGGTATGGATGATGTGTGCCAAGTCCCCAGAACAAAGATAGGCTGGAAACAAAGTCTCCCCAGTTCCTAGGTCCCAAGTCTTGTCTTAGGAATCCCACTCATTGAATCCCACAAGTTTATCAGCCTCTGCCTTTCATCCAGTGCACTGTTCCATGTGTAGACACAAGAATGCTTATGGCTGCCCTTCTGGAACTGACATCCTGGAAACTGGTGACTCCTTGCTGAGTCTAACAGCCACGGTGTTGAGAGCAGAGCCCAGCTAGGCAGCAACTGAACCTTCTCCAAAGTAGATGTCTGCTTGCTGAGAGCCAATGGCAAGACTCAATGTCTCCGGGAAAGTAGTAAAAGGAAGGGAAGAGGAGGCGGGGGTGGGACGAAGTGCAAGGTATCAGGCAGGTCATGTGTTGATATCAGACATTCAAAGGCATTCCTTTGAGTTCAGAATTTAGGATTTTTGGAGAAGCCCCAAATGCATGCTTCGGTGGTCAATCCCAACATTAAAAACAAGAAGAATGGGAGACAGGAAATAGGGAGAGAAAAGCCTGCAGAGAATGGAGGAAATTGCCAGACTGCTGAGCCTGGCTGGCTGCATTTCCAAAGCAGTGATCACATCCCTTTGTACCTAGTCGTCCCTGACCTCAGCAGCTGCCTCTTCCTGCCAAGATGGTCCCTGCCCAGTAGGACAGTCCATGGCTGCCAATGGGCCAGATTGTTTCCCCCCTGTCCAGCTCTCAGGGGTGGGCAGCCACAGCAGCAAATGACTTCTAGGGAAAAGAGCTGACATGGATGGAATTTGCCTAAATGTCCAACATTGCCCATCCATGACCAGAAGGTCACAGGGTGACTTTCAGTCTGGGAGCTGGGCTGTTTAGGTGGCAATTGGCAAAGCTAAATGGCCATGTGCTGAGAGAACATGCCTCAGTTCTATCCAAGAAGATCGGAGGTGGAGCTGGGGACACAGGACTTGCAACTCACAGTTGAGCAGGTCTTCCACTGAGATGAGAACTACTCCCTTATACAGTGTTGAATACAGGCCTCTGGCTGCCAGTCATGATTTGTACCTGGACTGCTGCCCAACACCCGGGCTTCTCAAGTGTAGCACATCACAGGGACTCCTGAGCAACCATCCCACTGGACTAAAACAAGGCTCTTGCAAAAACCCCTGGTACCTCCCTGCAGCCTCCACACATTCGTGGGATAAGTAAGCAGACCTGAGAGAGAAGCTCCCAGGGATGGCCAGCCCTTTGACATTTTGACATCATGTTTTTATCTGTAAAATTCAGGTGAGAGCATCACAAAAGTTGCAAAACAGAACACCAACAAAAGCAACCTTCTGTTTTGAGTGGCATGGTTTGAACATAAAATGTCTTCCATAGATACATATGTCTCAATGCCTGGTCCCCACTTGCTGGAGCTTTTTAGAAAAGTTGTGGAACCTTTAAGAAATAGAACCTTGATGAAGGAAGTGGGGGACAGGCCTTGAGATTGTATAGCCCAACCTTACTTCCTATTCACCTTCAGCTTTGTGACTGTAGAGGAAATATGGCCAGCCAGATTCCCACTCCTGCAGCCTGCCATGCCTTCCCCATTATGCTGGAATGTGTCTCCTCCAACTGTAATCCAGAAAAAGAAAACTCTTCCTTCAGTTACTTATTGTCAGGCATTTTGTCGCAGCAATGAAAGGAGTAACTAACAGAGAAACTTAATGATTTTGTGATGGGCCGCATTCATGGCTATCCTTAGCCACATGGAGTTGGCCATGGGTAGGTCATATCTGCTAATGAGTCCATCGGTCTAATGCCCATGTCTAAAGAAACAGAAGAGGGTATGCAGGGATGTACGGATGACAAGTTGACCTTCACAAGGTAAAACTAGGCAAGAGGAAAGAGGTCCATATGGGCTGTCTTTGGCCCAGGACTTATGGAGGTACAGTGATAGGAGCTGTGGAGGATGAGAGATGTGTTGGGCAGCAGTCCAGGACAAATCATGACTGGCAAGAGGTGTGGAGATAGAGCAAGTGACAAGGACTTCTGGAGGAAAAAAATTTCCAGAACATCATTGAGGTGCCCAGACCAGAGACTGAATTCTTTGTCTGCACACCCTGAAACTCTTAGCAAATAACTGGGCCATGCTGTAGATCCCATAGAGCTTAGGAGGGTGCCATTTGTTATGCATGGGATTGCTGTGGAAACTACCTGGCAGTATTTATCTGGGCCACATGTCTCCAAACAGCATTTCTATTTAGATGATTCCTTCCCAGAGGTCAACTATAACCCTTTAAAAAAAAAAAAAAAAAAAAAAAAAACAGAGACAAAACTGAGATATCACCAGACCTTGGCTGTGCTGTGTCCTTGGGTTGATCAGGGAGGGCAGGTATTCACTGTAGGTTACCAGAAACCTCATCCCAACATTTCCAGGAAGTTCTACCAAAATGAGGAACATTGTAAGAAAGATAGGAGGGAGGCAAGGCTAGAACAGAGAGTATAAACGAGAAAGCATGATGAGATAGACACCAGGCTTCGGGGGAGAACTTCTCCCTCCCAGAGTGGAAAGTCTTTGGCTTTCTCCCTCTGCTCCTCTGTGTGAAGGATTGCTGTAAGGGTCACACCCCACCTGGACACTACACAGTAAAACAAGGAAAGAGAGAGAAAGAGAGGTGCACTGTAAAACCTCTGGAAGCCTCCGAGGCAAGACCAGATTCTTCATGACTCAAAAAACCACCCAGGAGCATGGGAGCCTTAGTTTAGAAGAACCTGAGCTTGACTGGATGCTATGCTGTGCTCATGAGAGGCGAAGTCGCTGCACTGAGAATTGATCCCTGGGTTTTGCATGTGCTAGGCGAGTGTTCTACCCCTGGGCTGTTTATCCCTAGTCCCCTTCTTGTTTCTTTCTTATTTGAAAACTGAATCTTACTAATACACTCCAGCTGGCCTTGAACTAAATTTATAGTATAGGCAAGCCTTAAACATGTGATCCTCCTGCCTCAGCCTCCACCGTCAGGCCAGGCTTGAAATTCTTTATAACTTTACCAAAAAAGGAGGGGAGGGATGATTCACCTATTCATGTAAACATTTTGCACTGAAACTTGCCAATGTTCTTCCCAAACTGTATTGGTTGACTGATTACCCTACATATTAAATATAATATAATTTAGGGGCCCTATATTGAACTGAGGGTATTTTCCTCATAACTAAACCATCAGCCTAAGGCTCTTTCAAGAACCATCTACTAATATTGTGGTTTGGGTATTAAGTGGGTGCCCAATAGACTCAGATTCTTGGAACTTTCAAATGGCTCTGTTTGCTCATTAGTCCATTAAACAAACATTCACAGAAGAGGGAAAAAAAATCTACCCATAAGATCCTTCCAATTAAAAGGTCCCAGCAATAGATTCCAACACAAGGCTCTCATCAGAGTTGAACCTAGTTTTCAACCTCCAGCCTGACAGGTAAAACCATGATTTTACGTGACAGCATTTTAAAGACGAATATTTTAAAGGACAGTATTTATGTGAATGTCTCATCCCAGATCAAACACGAGCTTTACTTCCTATGATCTGCTCTCTCGGGAGCCCTGTTTGAGCCAAAGAGTATGAATGCTTGACTGCCTCCCATTTCTCTTTTGACAGGAGTGAGTAACGCCGAAGCCCGGCAGCCGGGAAAGTCTCCTCACTTCAGTGCCAACTGGGTCGTGGGCAGCGCCGACCTGGAGATCATTAATGCCACTACTGGGAAGAGGAGCTGTGGGGGCTCGTCCCGGCTCTGCAAGCACGGGTTTTCTGCTCGGTGGGCACGGCTGCATGGTAGGGTAGGTCGCACCGGTCCTTTCTGGGGAGAGCACTAGCTGTATCTGGGCTCTGGTTAAAACCCCGAGGAAGTTCCAGGGAAACAGGACATCATTTGGTCTGCAGTAATTGTGAAACAGGACGTGCAAACTGATCCCCTGTCTCCAACTGCCCAGGAATCTCCTCCATGCATTTACAACTTGGCTACCTGACCATGGTCCTCAGAGCTTGGGGAGGGTGTCTCTGTAAAGTGAAGCAGCAAAGAAGTTATTGGTGGACACCTGATGCCTGTTGGTTTACCAAGGGTGTCCTAAGAAAGGTACATGAAGAGGTGGAGAGAAGACTCCGTTGTTAAGAGAACTTGGGTTCAGGTTGAGAAATCACAAGGTCATACACAACTGTCTGTAGGTCCAGTTTCAAGGAATTTAACAACACCCTCTTTTGGACCCTCAGGCACTGCACATTGTGGTGCAGGAACATTCACCAAGGTCCACACCCATACACACAAAATAAAATAATATAATAACTCTCTTTTCAAACATTAAAAAGAGAAAAGAAATGTATTATTATTTCAAGTTCAGAAATTAAAAAAATACTCCAGAGAAAGTAGATAAGGGCTGGCAAAGTGGGTTAGTGGATAAAAGCACATGCCACCAAGCTTGAGGACCCAAGTTCAGTCTTCAAGATCTACGTGGTAAAAGAAGGGAACTGAGCCCTGCGAGTTGCCTTCCAATCTCTAAATGCACACACACACACACACACACACACACACACACACACACACACATGGAAGGGAGAGAGAGAAATAAGTAGATAATTTCCCACCAAGTCTCACAAATGGTGACTCTGGGGTTAGAGTATTTCCCAACCCAGAAGCTACCCATTTCTATTATAGGAATGTTTTAGAATCTGCTTCCTACTCATAAACAGATAAAAACTACATTGGCAGGGGTGGGGTTAAAACTGACATGTAGACTTTCATGTACTTTAAAGGCATAGCACAGTATAATTAAAAAATATAGATAGCAAAAATGAGCTAATGAAGAAAAGTATTTTGCTCATTTTTCTGTATTGGTACGTAACTCAGTCAGTGAAACCCTTGCTATGTAAGTACAGGTACTTGAGTTCGAGCCCAGAGGTCATGTAAAAAGGTCCAGCAAGGTGGCCTATTAGTCCCAGAACTGGGGAGGCAGACACAGGTGGATTTCTGGGGCTAGCTCTCCAGCCAGGCAGCCTAACCTAAGCAGCAAGCTCTAGGCCAAAGAAGAAAGGTGAGAGGAGAGAGGAGCGGGGAGAAAGGAAAGAGGAGAGAGAGTCAGAATAAAGATGTCAGCTTCTTAAGAGCATTATTCCTGAGGTTGGTCTCTGGTCTCCACACACACCTGCACACAGGTGCACCCATATGGCTTGCACAATAGCCAATAATTGTTTTATGGATTGGCATGGCAACCAATAGAAGAGCAGGTATGCAAACACTTAAACATCTTTGTCTACTCAGAGAATGTTAAAAGTTGCAGTTATCTAAGAGTTGGGCAGTCACCTTCGGCCTCTGCCAAAGCCATGCAGATGTAGTTCTATGGCACAGTATGTTGCAGTCCTTAGAACTCTCTGTCCTTTTCCCATGTCTCAGTTTTTCCAAAGACTTTGGAAGGTCTGGGGAAGCACAGACTCTTCTTGCTTTGCTGAACAAATAGGTGCTGTTCTTGTCCACACAATCATCATGGTATTGGCCACAGAGTGGACACATAGATCTGCAAACCCCCTGCAAAGGCCCTGCAGTGTTATCTCAAGCTCCCCTGCCACAGGCCTGCTCTCTGCCCTCCTGTCCTTCTATTGGGGGATTGAAGACATGGATATGTTCCCCCTGCCTTCCATTGCTCCAACTTTGCCTCCTGTGACTCAGGAACCTGATAACATCTTACATTTACTGCTTTCCCAGCTAACTAACAACATAACTCAAAGTCCTTCTCCTCTCCTGGTTGACACAATGCTGATGCTGTTAGTGCTCACATACAACCCCCACCCCTGGAAACCCTTCTCCAGAGAGTGTGAAAATCAATGGTTTCACTATTGGTGCCGTTTCTTTCTTTCTGGGGTTTGCTGAGTTTTCCTTTAGAGTCAGGGTCTTCCTATATATCCCAGGCTGGCCTTGAACACAGTAGTCCTCCTTACTCTGCCTCTTAAGGGCTAAGATTTTCAGCTGAGAAAGCAGTGTTCAATTCTTAATAGAAGGTAAGTCACGTGTGATGTTATATATTTGTTAATCATCTGCACTTCTGATGAAGCAAAGTATTCTTAACAATTGAGTTTTTCATGAAATTTTCAATTAGAACTCAGATAAGTGCACTTCAGTTTTGTTTTGGTGTTTTCATGTGTATATGTATGTGTGAGTTCATATATATAGGAGGGAGGACTCATGTACACATGACTTTGGAGGCCAGAAGCCAATGCTGGGGGTCTTCCTCAATTACTTCTCCTAATTTTCTGATACAGGATCTCTCACTGAACTTGAAACTCACCAAGTGGCTAGCCTCAAGCACTTGCCTATCTCCACCATCCTAGTGCTGGACTTATAGGTGTCACCAACACATCCAGCTTTTTACTTGGATGTTAGAGATCTGAACTCAGGTCCTCATGCTTGTGATCCAGGAACTTTACCAAATGAGTCATCTCCCAAGGCTCTGGAGTGTTAAAGAAAGAGAGAAAGAGAACAAGGGTTGAAATCAAGCTAGCATTTGTCTGGTGAAATTCCTCATGTTAATGTGGCTGATTAAATGCACTTTCTCCTTCTTTTTACAGCTAAGCACGCGGATCCCAGGCCATGGAGACACACCATCCATGTACTGTGAGGCCAAGCTGGGGGCCCACACCTACCAGTCTGTTAAACAACAGCTCTTCAAGGCTTTTCAGAAAACTGGTCTTGGCACCTGGGTGAGAAAACCACCAGAGCAAGATCAGTTTCTACTAAGTTTCTAAAGCACTAGACTCCTTTGCTATTGGACCAGAGTGGAACATCTGGAGAGGACGCAGCTGTAGGATGGTGTGGTGTGTCCATCAGTTCTTGACCTTTGTTCTGCTTCGGTGTTCAAGAACACACTTGTCCATGTTTGGATGAGAGACCAGATTTGAGTTTGGGTCATGCTGCTTCTCCCTGGGTTGGTAGTTCCAAGAACTCTGTCCACCATAGCTAGAGGTAGAAGCTTTACTGTATCAGCCTCATCCCTTATTGGGTGTCAAAAGGAATTCATCTGTCCAGGCAAGGGAAGCTTAGAGGCAGGGCTCTAAGTGGTACTGAAGCGTAGCCTCATGCACCTTCCTCTGGACTTCCTTCCCCTTTCATGGGCTTTTCTAGCAGTGTGATTGAATCTGACCAGCACAAGTTTGTATGACATTTCAAGATAAGCCACAGTGAAAAGAAAAGCCATGGGTCCCCAACTCCTCCAAAGACCCAGCAGGAATGCCATATCATTTTCATTATTCATTCAAATGTTTCCACCTTCTTTCAGAAAGGACTTGAGATAGACACTGTTAAAAAGAAACTAAAGTAAATGAAAACCATGCCTATGACACAAAAGGACAGTTACCTACGACACAAAAGAGTCATGATCTTTGATCTAAGAAAGCTGCTCTTAAACTGGGCAGTGATAATAATGTCGCACACAAACCCATGCCTATTCACGTGATCACACCCTCTTCATTGCTTTTCACAGACAATGACAGCCATGGAAATGAGAGCAGTAGAGTGATTAACCACTACCCAGTAATCTCTCTACTAGATAATAGTAATGAAACTGAGTCTTAGGTCAAAGTCTGAATTTTTATTAGAAAGAAAGCATATACACAACACACACACCCTCAACACAATCTTTAGGTTTGAGGAGCTGCTCACTCTCTATCATTTTAGGTTCCTTAATCATCATCTTGCATGAATAAAATAAGAATAACAATAATAGTGACAACTTACCATAGGCGCCAAAATTAAAGGAACAGAATAATACCATTTTTAGAATGGGCATCCTCATTCATAGCTAGACATAGATTTATTTAATATTTATCTTACATAATCTTCCCTAAGAGGAAAAAAGATTCAGGCAAGGGGAGGCATGTTGCTAACATATTTTTAGTCAAGTCAACCTGTGTTTCTTGAATTAATTTCTTATCACTTGGAGCTCATTTCTAACATCATCACACTAGTTAACATGTGTTTAATCCTTTTTATTTAAAAAAAATCTGATGGACTAAAGAGATTGCTCAGCAGTTAAGAGCATTTCCTGTTTCTACAGAGGACTCTACTTCAGTTCCCAGCATCCACCTGGCAGCTTATCACCACCCACAACTCCAGCCCCAGTGACTCCACACAGCCATGGGTACACTTATATACATGTGGGCAAAGTATCATAAAAATTAATAAATCCCTTTTTAATCCCCTCTAAGATGCATTATGGTTTTTTGGTTTTGTTTTGCTTTGCTTTATTTTAAAAGTATAACAGAAACCACTTCTAGAATATTGGTTCTTGGTTAGAATTCCAGCTCAGCAATCCTCAATAAAATTCAACCATTATATCATGACATGTGTATTCTAATATATATTGCAGATACAATCAGGATAGGGTAAACATGAAATACATTGCATGTAGCTATCTGATACACTAGGAAGAAGAGTGGAGATACTAATTTTTTGGCTTTAACATGAGATCATATTTATCACTAAAGTCCTTTGAGAAGAGTATGAGCATCATTGTAAGAATATTTTCAAGATAAACTTTCAAAGATATGCAAATGTTTTTGCAAATAAATGATTCACATCAATCTTTCCTAAATACTGAGGAAAGTGGAATCTTAACTCAGTGTAAAGGCTAAGATCAAAAGGCCAACTTATGGGCTGGAGAGATGGCTCAGAGGTTAAGAGCACTGGCTGTTCCTCCTAAAGTCCTGAGTTCAATTCCAGCAACCACATGGTGGCTCACAGCCATCTATAATGAGATCTGCTGGCACACATGCAGGCAGAATACTGCATTAATAAATAAGTCAATCTTTTAAAAAGAAATTGTCCAGCTTACAGTAATCTCTGATAACTTGATGTATCACTAAGAGGAAGTTAGAAACCTTGAGAGCTGAGTTATGGCTTAAACGGTATCTCTCTACCATTAGGCACAGGTACTTCTTGGCTGAAATCTAAAACCTGCCCTCAACTCATTTGTATTCTGAGCTGTTGCATGGAGAATGCACAGCACTTCATTCAGGCGACCTCCAAACAGTTCTGTTGGTTATGAAAAGACTGCCATTAACTGTCGGGTTTTAAACATGGTGGAAAGAGACAGAATGGGCCACCTTTCAAGAACTCTCACTGAATATCACCACTTGGCCCTGTGCTTACCTAACAGTAAACAAACTGCAGAGCTGGGGTTATGACTTGTGTTCTCTGAAGCACCATTTTTTCCAGAAACAACCCAAACCTTCCCAAAGATGAGTATCTCCTTCTGAAAAAGGCCACCCATCGGATTCATTCTACTCCTTAGCTCTAGCATAGAGACTTGCTTACTTATATTAATTGTGTGTACATTGGGGGAGAGTATGTGCGCATGCCTACAGGACACTGAAGAGGGTGTCAGAGCCGCTGGAATGAGATACAGCAGTTGTAAGACACCCTATAAGGATGCTAGGAACCAAACGAGTCCACTGGAAGATGCTCTTAACCACTGAGCCAACTCTCCGGCTCTGAGAATCACTAAGTCAACAGGAGATTTCCTAGAGAGGAGAGCTAGGGAATCTACATTTGTTTATAGCAGTGAAAGTTTTTTTTTATGCTACAAGTGTAATTTTAAGAAATTAGGCTTTTCCAAAGAGACGTTGTGTAAAATGCTTTTTTTTTTAATAGTTTACTGCCTTGCAAGACACTTGTCAGAGTGAGTGTTAAATAAAGAAGGAGATGGGAGGAAGGAGACAAAGGTCCCTGGATCTGTTCAATGACAAAAGAGTTACTGAGATTATCTGAAGTGAATCCTACCACATGCTTAAAAACAGAGGTTAGGAAAAGACAATCTTCACGAAACAGGAAAACACAAAGCGGTATTAGGAGGGAAGAATGAAAGGCCTGGGTATGTTTATTATCTGCATCAGACAGGTAACCACATTAGGACTGCACACCTCTGCCATATTGGGTCATATATGCGCTGCCCCTGACCTACAGACACCCAACCCACTCCAAAAGCAGCCGGTTACAGGATCTGACATGCCATCTGGTGTGCATGGAATAAACCCTGAAAGTCAGTGGCAAACGCTTAAGGATTTTTCTCACCTTGCTATTCACAAAAGCATCCCAACACTACTTTAGGCTGGTCTGCATTTTAATTACTGAGTTAGTGTCTTGGGAGTTCCTCAGAAATGTCCCATCTGAAATTTCTATATGAATGAAACACAAATAGGTGATATTTCTCTGTTAGGCCACCCTGAAAACAAATACAGTCAAAAATCAAAAAGAATATAGGTTGAAAATAAAGAGGACATGCAGGCATCTCAGCCACCTGGGCTGTCCCTTAGCCACCTGATTTCTCTCAGAACTACACCCCATATCTCTTTGATTTTTATACCTTTTGTTTTCATATTTTCTGTCTTCTGTATTCACACCCATTGAGCCTCACTCCTAAAGTCCAAATAGAAGTCAGCATCATCCTTATCTGCCTCCAAAACATGTGTTGCTTTCCTATTGGGAGATAAGCAATTCAAGGTCTCCTGCCTGGTTCTCAGTCCAAAAGCCAGTGCCTGATCATTTGTGAGCCTTTCCAAGCACTGAGCCCCATGGGAAAGGCCACGAGGACACATAAGCACTGCTCATCCACGTCCAGGAAAAGATTTCACAACAATGTGTGCTATCAAGTTATTAAATTTAGGATTTCTTTGGATTTGGGGTTTTTTGCCAAGGAAAAGATTTGCAAGTCTCTAACAATTGTTTCCTTTTGGTTTCTGTGATCCCCTCTGAACCTGTATATATCTATCATGCCAGTATTGATTTTGCAATGTCTTGTTGTCTCTCACAAATGTCAGGCTAAGCTACTTTTCCAAAAGATGCATAGCTCTTGTTTTTTTCCACATAATTTCCTTTTCATAGGACGGTTCTTATCAATAAAATTAAATGCTTTTTGTATAGTGTTTCTCATATTTGATGAGCCATAAATAGTAAATACATAGTATACCAATGCCCAGAATAGAATAGTTAAAGTATTTTGATGAAATCCTATTTTTAGATTATAAATTTCAAGATGAGTCTATAGTATCTTCTTTAAAAAATTTAAAAAGACAATTGAAATTTAAATATAGTAGACTTTTTTATTTAAGGAAACTTCTATGATCATTTTTTAAGAAGCCATTCTAATAAAATGACCTAATTGGCCCAAAAGATAATAGTTATCACTTTATAATAGCAACCAAAGGAAATTTAGAAAAAAAAAAGTCTTTCTTTTTATGTGCTACCATTTGACTGCTGTGACCATCTCTTCTGGCTGAAGTTTCAGCATTCAGTAAAACCTCTTTCTCCATCACTCTTATCTAGGACAGTTTTCAGAATCTACAGTCTTGCATAGGACTAAGAAATCCGCTACCCTGAACATTTTGAAAAACTGCCCAAGCTTTGGATGTTTGCAGAGTTCATGAAGGAGTGAATTCGAAGTGCTGCCTCAGGAAAAGCTGTAGCACCAAGAATCAGGCCTTATCTGGGGCAGGGGATTGGGCTAGGGGAGAGTCAGAGAAGGAACGCAGAACTGTCCTCGAGAGCTTGGAGAGTTGGCCCTGCTGGGCGCTGTCCGTGGTTCTGATCCATAGTTGACCATGGAAACAGCTATTTCTGGGACCTCCACAAGGTATCGGTGGCTCTTGCCAAAATTCTTCCACAAAGTCCGAAGCAAATTAAGTGATGGTGGAGAAAGAAAGAGAGGAAGCAGAAAGAAAATGACGTAAGCAGAGGCCACTAACAAGATGCC